TTTAATTGTCTTTATGGAGACGATGTAATAACTAACTGTTTAATTGATAAATTAGAATTTTTTTTTCAATTTTTGAGAGTAATATCTTCAACTAGATACGAATTGTAGTAATTTGACGTATTGTTGAAAAAAGTAGGTCAAGTTAGAGCAGAGAAAATAAATGATAGTCACAAAAAAATATCTTCTCGGCTTTGCATCGAAGCGAAAACTTAAAATATAGTAAAATAATTTTAATACGAATAAGAAATTTCTTCTTGCAAGGGGCGACTAAAGTGATGGGATCCTTGATCTTTATTGAAGTTATTGAATCTAAATGTGATAAAAATCAAACGAGTTAAAATTTATACTAACTTAAAAAGAATTAAGAAAAAATGCAAAAAATTCATTGCCATATGCGGGTTGGAACCTCGTACCCCAAGCGTGTAAAACATAAATTTTACCAACTCGGCAACCGTACGTTGCTTCCGGCGGTTGAAAAATTGGCTATTTAAGCTAGTTCAAATTTCAAAGTTATTTTTCTCGACTTAAAAGAAACAAACATATTTAAATAAGTTTAACTATCTATACTATATCAATTTTAATTTATATAATATTTATGAAAATCTGTACTCCCCTTGTCAGGTATTTTAAAATAAAATAAAATACAAAACCCAGAATTTTAACACAAAAATAGCATATTTTTGCATACGGTAGTCATTTTTACCATGAAGACAAATCCAGAGGTCAAATTTTTTTTTTTCACATTAAAGTATATTACATAAGCTTTAATTTAAGATATATTTAAAAGTGTCAGTATTTCCGGAATACTTTCAAAAATTAAATTGAAAATATCGTAGTAACAATACGCATGTTTAAAGTTTTGACCCCCCTTGTTAAAGGGGTATGATCCGATTTACAAAAAAAGCGTGCCAGATGAAAGGGGTATATAAATATTTATTATAAAAAAATAATAATATTGATCCATACATTTTTCCAAAAGTTATATAAAATATAAATTAAATAATATAACATATAAAATCGAGATTTTTTTCACGGAAATCGTACGTTTTTCTTTAACTTTGATGTCCGTTTTCACCACGAAGACAAGTCCAGAGGTCAAATTTTTTTTTTTCAAATTAAAGTATATTACATAAGCTTTAATTTAAGATATATATAAAAGTGTCAGTCTTTCCGGAACATTTTCAAAAGTTAAGTTGAAAAAGTTCTACTTTCTATACGCATTTTAAAAGGTTTGCACCCCCCCTGTATAAAGGGAAATGGTCCGATTTTAAAAAAAAGTATGTCGAATGAAAGAAGTATATATAAAGTATTTATCATTAAAGAATAAAGTTGATTCATGCATTTTTTAAAAAGTTATAGCAACATAATGTTAAAAAATGTAAAATATAATATCAAGAATTTTTTCACAAAAATAGCATATTTTTGCATACGGTAGTCATTTTCACCATGAAGACAAGTCCAGAGGTCAAATTTTTTTTTTTCAAATTAAAGTATATTACATTAGCTTTAATTTAAGGTATATATAAAATTGTCAGTCTTTCCGGAACATTTTCAAAAGTTAAGTTGAAAAAGTTAATTTTTTGTAAAAAAGTTACCATTTTGAAACCCCATCCTTTGGGCTGTTAAAGGGTCAAATGTTCACAAAAATATATAAAATGATAGGTAATTATCTAAGGTATCTATAAAAAAAAAAATTATATTGATTCGGTCATTTTTAAAAAAGTTATGGTAATTTTAAGTAAAAAAAAATGAAAAAATATCGAAAATTAGCGATTTTTAAATTTGTAATTTTTTGGGGGATTTCCCCCGTTTACGAGGAACGAGGGATTTTTTTTCAATTTTTGAGGGTAATGTCTTCAACTAGATACGATTTGTGATCTTTTGACATATTTTTCATCAAAATCGGTTCAGTGAGAGCTGAGATTGAGCGTATACAGACACAAAAAAAAAAAAACACATCATAGTAAAATTAATACCTTCTCAGCTTCGCATCGAAGCTAAAATAGTCAGTAAGCCGTAAGAGTAGAATGCCAGCAAACAAAGACACGTTGTGCTAGTATGAAGAAGTTAAGTGAATTNAAGAAAAAAAAAGCATTTAAAAAATATGATGCTATTTAGATACAAGTCCTAAATGCTCATCAACAGTAATCCAAATTAGACACAACAGGATAGCTTACTTGACTATATCTACCTTAAACTTGTCTAATACACAACCAAATGTTGTATGCAATCTAAAAACAAGGTTTATTAATAATAAAGCAAAATAATAATACATGACCTATGTAACGAGCGTGTCTATTAGAGAGCCGACGACACTTCATAAAAATCATAAGAATTATAATTGTTAAATTCAAAAATAAAAACCCTGCACAGGGGGGTCGCGGCACAGTGGTGACGTGGCATAGTTGGATCAAGTAAATGATATCTGACAGTGATTAAAATCACTATCAAAAATNTTAGAATATAAATTGTAACATTTTTAGAATACATTATTAAATTAAAAAAAAAAAATGTGTTAAATAATATTCAATAAAATTCAAGTAAATATTTATTATATCTTTGATTTGACTATTCTCCTGCCTAGGTAAAAGCATGTTAATTTTTTCCGAAATATTAATCCAGAAATTGTTATCAGTATAGTAATAATTTCATCTAATAAATAAGTTATTTAAATATGTATATTAAAATTTGAAAAATTAAAATTAACACTGTTTAGTATTAAAACCCAATCAAACATAAAATATAGTTTATAGTTTAACAAATGATAATAAGGATGTTACTTATATGTAACAATATGACATAGTTAATAATGATATGATAGTTTATTGTTTAGTAGATTATAAATCGTAATGAAAGGAATGTATAACACTAAAAGATACTAAAAATATATTCTTAATATATTATATTTATTTTTTTATTACTAAGTAATAATGATAAAAAAATCATACTATATATAGTGTTATTTATTAAGTATTTATACTTAAAATAATAATGTCCTCTATTTTCGATTAAATAATGATTTTTTTAGATAATATTTTTTGAAGAAATTAAATAAATAAAAATTTGTATTAATTCTACGACAAAGAATTGATTTTGAACTAACTTGCATTAACTTGGTACACTTTAAAGTGGATAGAATAAAATTTATAAATACATATAATTCAGATTATATGTGTATACAATTCATATAAATATATAAAACAAATTGCTCATGACAAGTTGACTATTTCATATACTAAGAATTCTACACCTCGTAATAAACCAGGAGCATACCTAAAAGGGTCACTATGTTGATTTCCTTTTTTTTATATTTCTACTCGGCACACTTTTTTTTAATTACTTAATAGACAAACTAAAAAACTTTATGATACATCAAACATTTATTTGAGCAGGGGTAGACAGGGAGATCAATGTCTCAGGGGGCACAACAATTATGGCAGTCCTGAGTCGCCTCAAAAATGTTTTCCAAAAGTAGAAAGAACACAGGAAGAGAGGTGACAATTAGATTGTGGAAATTAAAAGGAGAAAAAAGTTCTTAGAGAAGGTGATAGAAAGAATTGCGTGGAATGTCAAGGGACATATCAATGATGTGTGGAATAGGATATCTATTTGTGTAAAGAATACCATAAAAAAAAATAGTCGGTAAGCCGTAAGAGTAGAATGCCAGCAAACAAAGACACGTTGTGCTAGAATGAAGAAGTTAAGTGAATTATAGCGAGTAAAGAAAAAAAAAGCATTTAAAAAATATGATGCTATTTAGATACAAGTCCTAAATGCTCATCAACAGTAATCCAAATTAGACACAACAGGATAGCTTACTTGACTATATCTTCCTTAAACTTGTCTAATACACAACCAAGTGTTGTATGCAATCAAAAAACAAGGTTTATTAATAATAAAGCAAAATAATAATACATGACCTATGTAACGAGCGTGTCTATTAGAGAGCCGACGACACTTCATAAAAATCATAAGAATTATAATTGTTAAATTCAAAAATAAATAGTAATAATAAGTTGAAACAATATTAATTAGATGTTACGCGTTTGAATGGTGCCGATTGCTTGTCGTACTGTATTTTCTCTAACAGCATTTTGTAAGATTATATGTGTTTAGTTGGGAGGTTCTTAAAAATGAAATTTTTAAATTAATTCAATACACCACCTAAAATTATTCCATTAGGTAAAAAATAATTTGTACAAACNCCACCTAAAATTATTCCATTAGGTAAAAAATAATTTGTACAAACTTTGGTTGAAATGACGTTAAAACTTGCCCCAAGTGGGTTGAAAATTCTTTAGGCGTATCACTATAATACTGAATTGTCATAATATAACCGTTTTGAAAACAAAATCATACGTAATAGTTTATCTCTGCATTTATATTTTTGACTGACAAATTTTAAAGTAGAAGTTAAATAAAATAAAACATCCTTAAAAATATTAAATTGTTAATGTTATTATTTTTTTTTTTGATAAGCACAAGTCCTTTAATAAAACAAGAGCACAAGTAATTGGGTTTACACGCTCATCCCCCTAAAGATTCAGTCGCCATGTATTACAATTTACTGAATTCATTAACTTATAAGATAATTTATATAAAACTCTGAAATGGTTTGGTACATAAATTATTTAATCTATTAATACATAATTTTTAATTTAAAATTTTCTTTAACTAACTCTTTCTCCGTAATTTATTAATTTTACATATTTCATCATAATTTTGCTATCTGTTATACTTAGCGTTTTTTTTTCTTTTTTCGGGGATAACTTATACTACGGTAGTAGTTAATACTAATTATTAATAGTGTATAATAAGAATTTTTACAATTAAATTTTTAAATTCAACATAGATATTTTTAGTAATTTCATACATAAAAAAAATAATCAGTCTATAAAACCACATGTTTCAACTATGTAAATATGGTAGATAGTTAAATTATAATAATAAATATAAATTATAATATTAACAATTTTATATTTAGGTTATAAATTAGAGATTTTTACAATAATATATTCATATACGTTTAAACAAACTTTTTATAAATTTAAAAAAAAATAAAAATTGATTTTTGTATTATAACACACGAATAAAATGTTAAAACAGTCGAAATTTGTCAATTTGTTAGCTTTCATACTTTTGTATTTTTATACTCATATGTGTGACACAACGGGAATACGAAATCAAAGATTACAAGGTAAAATTACTTCGAAAATTTCATAGTTTATTAAATTTGTATAAATTATTTTCTACTTCTATGGTTTCAATCGAAAAAAAGAGATCAACTTTCCATTTTATATACTATTATTTATTTTAATTATTTACAGCGGCTGCGTATGATATTTTGCACACGAGTAAGTTGCTATCAATTATATATACTTTATATTTATGTTAATGTACCATTTTTTACATATTATTAATACCGTATAATTTATTGATATACTAACCTCATTTATTATGTTAAATAATAATTTTTCTCATAAAAATACACTGAATAAATTTATATTTATTTTGATCATTCATAATAAATAACAAGTTTATTAGGTAGAGTAAAGTTGAAGCATTTTTTCAATTAGCATTGATTGAGATTTAATTGTAATTAAAATTACTATTGTAAAATGCTTGGATGCATATTTGAAAAATATTTAAAACATTAATTTTATTTACCAAGTATTACATGTTTTTTGATTTTAATGTTTGATTATTCATAAAGAATATGTCACTGGAACGTTTTTCTTTTTTTAATTATATATGATATTAAAAAAGCTTTAATTTGAATTAATTTAGAATAATGTAAGTATTTTTTTTTATTTCCCAATAAGTTCAATTATTAGTACTTTAATAAAGTGTCTTGCTAAATTTGAGGTCGATATATTAAGTTTCACATGTTAAAAGAAGCATTTAAATTAAAAATTACAAAAAAAAAGCTAACATGATCGCTGCGATTTATTTTAGATTTACCCTAGACTTGATAAATCAATATAAATTTTTGCGAAAATAATTATCTATATACTAAAATGTAATATTTTTTGTGAGAAAAAAAAATTAATTTTTTCGTATATAGGAACCGAAATAATTTCGATTTGATTTAAAAAAAATTTAAGTACTGAATTAATTGAAAAAAATATGTTGGTTAAATTTTAAAATTATTTCTTTATCTGCTTCCTATTAAAATTAAAAATAATTTTTAACGTTCAGTTGATACCGTATTGTAACACAAGGACTTATTTGTTGACTCAATTGCTGTTAAATTTTATGTTTGATCTAAAATAGCAAAATTGAATCTAAAATATATTCATATATTTATATAGTGTGTTTTATTGATAATAAAATTTAAAATATCAAAAAAAAATTGTTAACGATTATGTTATTTTATTTTAATATCGACATATAATTGATTGATTTTCTTACAATATGTTTTATATAAAAAAAAAAAACAGGATCAATATCTTAGCTGTGTAATTAAAATGTAAAATGTAATGTAATTAAAGAGTTCATTTAAAAATAATCATTTTTAAATAGTAAATGTAAGAAAAAGTTCAATCTATATTTTATCTATTAATATAAATAAATGTATTAGTAAAATTATTGATTATTTACAATTGCTAGTATAACGATGAATAAATTTTATTTGAAAGTNTGATTATTTACAATTGCTAGTATAACGATGAATAAATTTTATTTGAAAGTATATTGATTCGATTAAAATAAAAACTTAACAATGTATTTTTAAGATAGAGTGTTCTTATCGTTAGCTGAGGATGGTAAGATAAATTTTTTAATTACCAAAATTTATTATTAACCATAAAATTTTACCAAATCTAATTCTTCAATTTTTGTATAAATTTACTATTATAAATTTGAATTAATTTATAATTTAATACGGCCATTGGGAATCGACGAACGTTCATAAAAAGTGTTGCGGAAATTGTGTGAAAAAAAGAGGCATGGTACGGGATTAGAACCCACAACCCAAATTGTCATAGAGACAAAACTTACCACTAGCACTTATTATTCAGATTCCGATACACTTCCATAGATTGATTGATGACATGATGTGCAGCTTTGGGAAACACGGTACTGTGTCAAAATACCCCAAAGTTGCAAACGGGGGTACTATAATTGATGGGAGGGATTGATTGCTACACGTCTTACAGTGGAAATTCCGAACGTTACTCGCTATTATGTTACATAACTAATGTAAATTAATGATTAATTATTAATACTCGGTAATTCATGTTTACATGTTTAATTCTTATATTTTTGATAATAAATTGTATTTGTTGTATCAATGGAGTTTTTGGGATTTCCACATTAAAAAAAAATTCATTGTTCTAACTTAGATAAATAATAGAAACGTATGAATGATAAGGTTCCTTAAAATATATTTAATACTGCATTTTTAAACATAAAATTAGAACAAAACATTTTTTTTTAACTAATCAATTAATTTTATGTGTATATTAAGAATATAAATCATAATTTATACTGTAAAAATAGGATATAAAAGTAAAAATGAAATATTCGTTTTAAATGTACAAATAAACTTTGTCTTAAATAAAAAAAAAAATGAGGAAAAGTTTAATTTTTTATTAAATTCTACATATAAACTAATTTACTTATTATTAATTGAATTAGCTCAGTTATTAAAAAAAATTAACTTAATAATTATCCCGTAATATACTTTATGAAATTATCAGGTTGATTTTCCCTTTTAAATATTTTTATACTTTTTTTTTTTTCTTTTATAATATATACACAATCTATACACAAACGGCACAATAAGAGTATTAGCTAAGATAAACAAGAATGAAATATTGAATGAAGAAGCCACCCACCGATGACACTTTCGTCTTTTAATTATTTTGTTTTGACCTTATACGCATATTTTTTTTTTTTTTATTTTATGGATTGAGTAGGTCTCTGCACCATTTACGCTTAAGGCGGCGAGGAGGGTTACCAGGGATGGTTAATGAAGACAGATTTTTTATGAGCTCATTTGGATGAGAGCTAAGGCGTAGGTAGAAACGTTTATAATAATTTTTTGCCTCTTCTTGAACTGTTTTCATTCGTAGATCTTTATGCAGAGAGTGATTTGACACATATGGTGGACAATTGGTAATTTTTCTTAGTATTTTATTTTGGAACCGTTGAATTTTATTTAGGTTAGAAATTTTTGCGTTGCCCCAAAGCTGTAAGCCGTACGTCCAGATTGGCTTTAGGAGAGATTTGTAAAGGAGTAGTTTAATATTTAGGTTTAAGTGTTTGTTGTTGACGATTAGGGTTTTGAGTATTTGTAGGCGGGAGTTTAATTGTGATGTTTTGGCTTTGATGTGTTGAGCCCAAGTAATGCGGCGATCAATAGTTAGCCCTAGGTATTTAACGTTTGGGGATGAGGGAATCCGAGTGCCAAAAATTGATATCTCTGGACATGGTGCTAATTTAAGTGTGAATGTAGTATGTACTGATTTGGCTTGGTTTATTTTAAATCGCCACTTTTTGTACCAATCTTCCATAAGTGAGAGATGATTTTGTAGGTTTTTGGAAGCTATAATAGGATCTGAACTGGATGATATTATGACTTTATCATCCGCATAGTCTGCTACTAAAGTGTTGGGTGTGGTCGGTTGGTGGGATGTATAAATATTGTAAAGAATTGGGGAGAGTATTCCGCCTTGCGGAACACCTGCCGCAATTCCTGCTATATTAGAGTCTGAAGAGCCATAATGAACCTGAAAGTAGCGGTCTGTGAGATATGATTTTAGTATTATGTAATATGTTGGGTGTAGGAATTGCTTTAATTTGTATAGCAGACCTTAGTGCCATACTTTGTCGAAGGCCTGGGATACGTCAAGGAATGCGCAGGTGCAGTAAAGTTTTTTTTCGAGGGCAAAAGAGGCGGCGTCAACAACTCTATGGACTTGGTGAATAGTCGAGTGTTGAGCACGAAAACCAAATTGATAGTCAGGTATAATTTTTTTATCGAACATGATCGGAAGGATACGCTTAAGCAAAAGCCTTTCCAGTATTTTGGCAAAAAACGGTAGTAAGCTGATCGGTCTGTAAGAATTTACGGAGTCAGGTGGTTTGTTTGGTTTAGGGATTAAAATGATTTTAGAGAATTTCCATAGGAGAGGAAAGTATGAGAGCCTTAGGGTAGCGTTGAAAATGTGCGTAAGAAGGATAATTGCACGTTTTGGTAAGCATCTGGTGACTTCGGCTGTAATTAAGTCAAATCCTGGGGATTTCCTAAGTGAGTATTTTTGTATTGTATATTTTACTTCACTGGGCGTGAAGTGTTTTACTGGTAGAGATATAGGGAGAGGAGAGTCAAGATACATTTGTACTGTGTTTGTAGTAACTGTTGAGGATGTTTCAGGGTTAGGTAGGAATATTTCCTGAAGATGATTTTTGAATAGTTCTGCTTTTTCAGCATCAGTAGAAGCAAGACTACCATCTGGGTTTTTTATTGGGGGCGATGTGGCTTTATATTGGAGAGTTTGTTTTGTTGCCTTCCAGAGACTTCCATCTTTGGCCGAGAGGTTATTCAATTAATTTTCAAATGAAAGATCTTTATTTTTAGATAAAACTTTCTTGAGAGAGTTAGCTAATCTATTGCAATTTTGTTTAAGAGATGGGAGACGGTGTCGTTGGTACAGGGCTCTTGCTCTCCTTTTTTCCACTATAAGTGCACGTATATGACTCGGCAAAGAGGGATGATATGAATAGGAATGATTTACTTTAGAGATGGATGACCATGCCGCTGATTGAATTATATTTGTGATGCTATTTACTGCTAAGTCTATATCATCCGTGGATTTTAGTTTAATATTAAGTTTTATTTTTTGATCAACAAGGTCATGAAATTTGTAACGATCAGTTGTGGCATTGAAAAGTTTGGGAGGTTCCGGACAAGTTAATGGATAATCGTTAAGTGTTAATATAACAGAAGAGTGGTCCGAGTTTAAGTCTAAGATATTATCAGTAGAGTGAAATAAGTTAGATGGGATTTTTGAAACAAATATGTCAAGTATATCTGGGTTTTTTTGAGCAGAAGTTGGCCAGTAAGTAGGACCTGGGGGGGCAAGTATTTTAAGTTTTTTTGTACATACGACATCACGTAGTACAAGACCACGTGGGTTATTTGTGCGACATCCCCAACTTTGATGTTTGGCGTTAAAGTCGCCTCCAACTATAAAATTGTTGCCAAAGGTGCAAAAATAGTTATTGAAGTCAGCAATTGTAACAGAATGTCTTGGAGGTGAGTATAGTGCCGCAATTGTTACAGGAATATTATTTATGTTGATTAAAATAGCACAGGACTGTAAGAAGTTTTGACAGAAATTAGGAAGAACTTGGAATGTAATGGTGGATTTAATTAGTATGGCGACTCCGCCGTGAGCTGTATTATCTGGATGATTGGCTTTCAGTAATTTGTAACCTGGAATATGTACCTTAGAGTATTGAGTGAGATGAGTTTCAGTAATTAATGCAATATCAATACGTTTGTTTTGTAGTACTGATTGGATTTCAATAACATGATTTTTAAGGCCGTTTGCATTGAATAGTAATATTAAAAGGGATTTACTTGTGTGTGTGTTATTGTTCATTTTTTATTATCTAAAAGACTAGTTATTACTTTGGTAAGTAGGGATATTAAGGGATTTATTAAAGATTTAAAGTCCTCTAGGAAACTTGTTATTGTTTTGTTGATATCAGCTGTCGGTGGGGGCAGCTGTTGATTTGAGGAATGGCCTGACGTGATCTGTGCATAGGATGGAGTGGGGTTTGGGTTAGCATCATGAGTAGGGTGGCTGTCTTTTACAACTAGTGACTTATCTCTAATATTATCTGACAAAAAATAATGATTACTAGTGGCAGGTTTCTTACGTCGTTGAAGGTCCTTATATACTGCACAACCTTTGTAACTAGCTGGGTGATTCCCTTGGCAGAGTGCGCATGATGGTGAAGTATCACGTGGATTTGGACAAGCGGATGATGGGTGGCCGGCGCCGCAGCGAACGCATCGTGGTGGGTAGCCACAGTACGTTTTTGTGTGACCGTAGTTTTGGCAATTTAGACATTGGCTTATAGTTTTAGCTTTGAACGGTTCTTCTACTTTGATTTTTGTGTGTAATAGATTTGTCAATTTGTATATATCTTTTGATTGGTTGCTGGGTTCTAGATCAACAAAAAAAAGTGGTAATGGGTGCTTATTTGTTTTGTGTAGAACATTGGTAATATTTCTAACTTCAAAATTATGAAATTCTAATTCAGATTTTATAAGACTAGTTGGCGTTGATGGATGTAGGTTGCGAATTACGACGCGGACGGGCTTATCTTGTTGAAGCTGATAGGTGTGGTATTCGGCTTTTTCTTCCTTTAAATACCGTATCAGTGACCTATATGCATCTGGAGTGCTAGTTTGAATTTTTAATCTGTCTGCAGATGATTTGCAGACAAAGTTTTCAACACCGATTAATTCTACAAGTACTGTGCATAGTTCTGGAAAATCCTCGACACCTCTTACAAAAATCGGAGGAGGGGGTTTNACTATATCAAGTATTATTTCTAACAAATTTCAAGCTTTTATGATGAATACATTCTTTAAGAGATTCCATTTAAGCTTAAGAATGTCTCACCCTTTCCTACTCAAATTTTGTGTTAACTCACCCCTTTAATGAAGTAAAAGAAAAAATGTTTTGCTCTATCATTTAAATATTAAAAATCTAAAGAAAATACTTTCTATGATACTTACCCCTTTAATTACTCCTTTTTTCTATGCATATTTTATTAATAAAATGTTTTAATATATTAATCAATATTAAAGCTTTCTTTATAATAACTGTACGATTATTTGAAAAGTAGTTTATTATTAATATAATTTTCTTTTTTAAGTACGACATTTCCTGTTAGACATCATATTAGAGGAATTAGATGATAATGACTATGGTACGTATTTTTAATCGATTTTCTTTTATTTGCACGTTAACATATCTAAATATTATGCTTTATTAACAATTTTTTTAAAACTAATATAATCATTTGATTTAATTCAGCTTTATAATGTAAATTAAAAATAACTTCAATGAAAATTCTTAAACTATTTTTATTTAAGATGTCCTATTAGAACCGGTTATAGAAGTGATCTAGCTAAAAAAAATAATTATTATAGTTTTTATTTATCTTGTACCATTTTTTCAATGTATGTTGCATATGTATCAATTGAAGTATTAAATTTTACATTATTATTTTAAATATCCAAGAGATGATTTCAGAAATGACCCCATGTCAAAAAAATATCTTAAAGATTAATTAAATTTCACATTTAATTACACCATTTCTATAATATATTTATGCAGTTTTAAAAACTTTTCATTGGATTATTTAACTACAATAACCACTCGAATAGCTTATTAATTATTTATAATATAGTTGCATGGTTACATAGTTACTGATTTAAATAACCTTTAAAAGAACCATTTTTTGTAGAGTTTCGATTCTTTAAAACAAATAATTTGATTTTTCGGTTAGGTTATAGGTTCTTTATTTTCTTCTATAGGAACGGTTTTGACTGTTTAAAAATACTAGCTTATTTGTATATATTTACTAGCTTTAATTATATAATAGCTTTGAATTAATTTGTTTATTCAATATTTAATATAATCACTGTAAAATTTTATAATAGATATCATAGAATTAAAACTGTGTCCAAGCAGTAAGTAATAATACTACAAGTTAAATAAATTAATATAATAAATGTTTGCATAATTATATGTTATATCCTGAAATTGGGTAACCCACCCAATTACCTGAAACTCTCAGGTACTTAAATTTCTATAGCGAAACTTTTTTTGAAATATTTTTATGTAGGTTTTACGTTTTATCTACATAAGATGTAGCTTAGAAGAAAATGCGATAAAAGTATAAGTATTTCGTGTAAAGTTTTAATAGATTAACTGTAACTTATTTTTACTTAGCTTATTCTAGCAACTACTTTTTAAATAAATTTCTGCATGTTTATTTTTATTTACACGTAGTCATCCAGAAATTTTTCAAAACTTTTTAAAAATTATGCATTTGTTTATAAAAACATAATGCACTTGAAATTAACAAAAAATATTACATTCATGCGAAATTATGAAGAGTGATTTTTTGTCATAACTCACTCAATTACTTACAGAATACATAAAATTTAATCATTTTATCTTCGATGCGAAGCTGAAAAGGTACTAATTTTACTATTACATGTTTTTTTATTTTTTGTGTCTGTAACCACTTTTTCTCACCTCTCACCGAACCGATTTCTTTCAACAATACGTCAAAAGATCACAAATCGTATCAAGTCGAAGACATTGTCCTCGAAAATTGAAAAAATTTCCCTGGTTCATCGTAAATGAGGGAAATCTCCAAAAAAAATTACAAATTTAAAAATCGTTTATTTTTAAAATTATTTTTACTAAAAACTGCCATAATTTTTTTAAAAATTACCAAATCTATATAATTTGTTGTTATATAGATACGTGAAATAATTACTTATTATTTTGTATATATTTTTTATAAATTTGATCCTTTATCTGCCCAACGGGGGGATTCAAAATGACAACTTTTTCGACTTAAATTTTAAAAGTGTTCCGGAAATACACTTTTATATATATCTTAAATTAAAGCCTATGTAATATACTTTAATTTGAAAAAAAAATTTAACCTCTGGATTTGTCTTCGTGGTGAAAATGACTATGGTATTTTTGAATATGGTATTCAAAAATATGCTATTTTTGTGTTAAAATTCTAGGTTTTGTATTTTATTTTATTTTAAAATACCTGTCAAGGGGAGTACACTGATTTTCATCAAACATTATATAAATCAAATTGATATAGCAAAAAATTTAACTTATATAAATTCTTTTGCTTTCTTTAAGTCGAGAAAATTAACTTTGAAATTTGAACTAGCTTAAGTTGCTATTTTTTTCAGTCGACGGAAGCTCGTACGGCATGACAAGGAATTGTTTGCATTTTTTTCTTAATTCTTTTTAAGTTAGAATAAAATTTCAAGCCGAAATACTGACACTTTTATATATATCTCAAATTAAATCTAAATTAATAGACTTTATTATAGAAAAAAAAAAAATTTCGAACTTCATTTTGTCTTTATAGTAAAAATGGCTCCCGTATGCTATTTTTGCATTAATATTTTCTGATTAGGTATTTTATTTTAAAACACCTTACAAAAGTTTTTGAGTTACAAAAAAATTTTTAAATAATTTGATTTTTTTCTCTTTTAGATTCAATCATTTTAATAAATATCTAGGACCCCATCATTATAGACCCCCTCGTTTTAAGAAATTTCCTATTCATACTATGATTTTTTTATGGCTCTCATTTTTTCTCATTTCTCACTTGACTAACTTTTTTTAACGATATAAAACACGAAACGAAACAAATTATTATCTAAAAAGTTCTTTGTCATTCCTTCAATTTTTATACACGTTTGCCATAAAAGTAATAACTACTTTATAATTTTTTATAAATTATCCGAAAAAATTACAATACAAAAATAATTGAATATCTGTATTTCATACTACATTGAAATGCTTTAATAGTTATTTATTTATGAATTATACTTATAAATCACCTACTAATTAGGAATAATGATAGAAATATAAGTCAATTTTGCTTTTAGAATAATCAACTAATTTTTTAAAATTAAAGACTATCTACAGATTTTCATTGAAGCGTTTCTTATGATAGTGATTTAAATCACTGTCAAATATCATCTATATTGTACCCAACTATACCACGTCTCCACTGTACCGCGACCTCGCTGTATTTTTATTCTGTAAGTAATTGAGTGGGTTATGCTGAAAAAATCACCCTGTTTATCATATTTAAAACATGAATGTTTAATTAATATTAATCCTTTTTCTATCAATTCTATTAAAGATATTAAATTTCGATTCCCAAAATTCCATTGTCTACTATATACCACATACTTTAAATTTTTATTTTTAATAAATTTACAGATATAGATAGCATACATACTACTATAGGTAATAATTTAAGTAATATTTTATTAAATTTTTTTCATTTTTAAGTTATTTTAATATGCTACAAGAAAAATATAATTATGTTATAAGTATGACTAAAATTTGTTACATTTCCATATTTTATTTTCATTACTATAGCGCATAGCTTACCAAGTACAAAAATAATTCATACATCTTAGAGTTCAAGTATAATTTTCGTTTAGAGTATCTTTTAATAATTTTTATCAATAAAAATATTTTTTGAACTTTTGGTACATTAACATTTTTATTCATTATTTTGGTGATAATATGTACTTTTGACGTTTTTAATAATTTCAATACCATTGTATACAATTTTCGATATTTGAATATATTTTCGAAATATTTAGCGTATATCGTTAAATTTCAGTAAACAAATTTTTATTTAAATTATTGAACAAATTATTCACAAGATATACGTTTTAACTTTGATGGGTTTGTTCATACAAATGTATCTCCCTAGCTAAATGTTAATAAATTTAAATTATCTCTTCATAATTAGTTACGTTGCAATATAATATCATTATTCCCAAAAAGAATTACTTATTAAGAAAAAAACTTATTTTGAATCTATTCTTAATATTTAAGCATGCTTAGAAATATAATTTTTTACTTTTTGTTCAGCTAGCTTAATCGTTTTTTATATAAGTATTTTTAAAAAATAAAAGAACTGATATTAATTAATTTAGTTATTTTATTGTCTTGTATGACAAATTGTAAAACACATGAAATATTATCTCGTTTAGAATCCTCTCTATACTTGATATATAGATATTTTTAATAGTCCTTATTTTTTTAATATGCTTAAATAAAATATAAATACGGGATAGAATATGAGAATCAATCCCTAGGACACGTCACAAACTATTGGTTTATTAATAGTTTCGATCGCTAGATGTGCTAAGGTAGATTATCGAAATGTACTTTATTATATAGATACTCAAATAAAAAAAAGAGCTGAATTTCACTAAGCAATTTTTGTTTTGAAATTTTGAAAATCCGTAAAATATTCAATAATGTTTTTTATACAAAAAATCTAAATATTTATCATTTTGAAAAAATACTTAAGTGTAAAATTAATTACCATTGTATGTGGTCAGTAAATGTTCTCTCTATTTATGCTATGCTAAGCACTTTCTTTTCTTTCTGGTGTAATGTTATATTTATGGTACAAATTAGTTCTCTTTTACGGAATTTTAAGTAAATGGCACCCAAGATAGCTATAATCGTGAATATGTTTAGAAATTATTAGAACTTAATTAATATATAAGCAGAAATTTTTGTCAAGTACTAATATCATCGCGTAGTATTGACTGGTGTCTTGTCTAAGTACTGATTTAGTATTCGTGATCAGCATTGATGGAAGAGTACTGGCGAAATATTGATTATACAATATATTTAGTACTGATCTACGAAAAACGTTATCATTCCAGACATATAGCAGTATAGGTCCAATGGCATTCAATGACAGAAATCAAAATATATTTAGCAAACAGAGTATATTTAAAAAGTCGTTGGGGAGGGGGCACAAAAAAATATCAAGAGATAAACTACTATGAAAATTATTGGCCGTAATTTATCACACAGTCTATGAGTGAAATATATCAACTAACATTTTTATATCAACATAGCATTACCAGTGGAAGGGCACGTACCCATCCATGGAAATAAAAAAAAAAGCAAGTGCATTTCCGATACATTTAAATGTAGGCGGCTTATACAGCTCGGTGGTGAATTTATCATGACTCGAACACAGATCTCGGTATCTGTGTCTTGGTATCATACCGAGAATCGATTTCTGCTAATCTGTGCTAGATTCCCGTTATTTCTATTACATGAATTAAGTAATTTAGTTTAAAATACGTTAAACATATTCAGCGTGTCCCACCGTAATGTACTAATTTGAATATATAAATCAATATTCAAAAAATCGTATGTTGTGATAGGACACCTTGTATATTAAATTTTGTGTCTCGTGAAAAGTTTTCGAAAGTTGATTTATCAAATTGTTACATAATTACTTCTTTATATTGAGGCTTCTTTATCTTTATAATAAATATAAATAAATACAATGTATGTATTTTGTGAGTTTTTATGACATAATATAGTAGCAATAATATTATAAATAAATTTTTAATAATTTTATATTCCTGAAAATTCAATAACTTCATAATACATGATTCAAAACCATAATATAAGAATTTTATTTATTCTATTGACAGATGAGTGTGATCCACTTGGATATGGAAATAGTTTAGGAAATAATGAAGGTAAAAATGTTTATCATGCTTTAAGAGTTAACTATTTTGTTTAAAATATTAAATTATACAGAATGGTAGATTTTAGTTAAGACTCACAATTTATCAGAAACAGCTGAAAATTTTATTTTTTTTTGTAAAGAAAAAAATTATTTTATTCTAAATACTATTATAATTATATGTAATTAAATATTTTTTTATCCCTTCAAATTAAAAAACTTAAATTTAATCTTCTTAAATGGGAACCTTTAATTTTAATTTGATAATATGATAGAAAAAAAAATTACAAGCAATTTAGTCCTATAATTTTTTTTATCTAATTTTTTTTTATACAGTAAAAAACATGAAAAAGTTTTAAAAATACGTTATAACTGATTATGTTTATTTTCACTTAGTTATTCTTCGGATAACTTATTTGATTAAAAAAGAAATTCTAAAATTTTAATATTTTTTGCCAATTGCGGTAATATACTAGATTTATTATATATGACCGGTTAATTAATTATTAATTACAGAAACTAATTACATTTCCTGTATTAATTAATTTTTTTATTAATGAAACTAATTTATTTATGTTTAATATTATGGTTTCTGTTTTTTTGTTATAGTTTTTTATTAATACTTTACTACACCATAATATATTTATTTGACTTCTCTCACTATTTCAAAAACTGGGTTGATATCATTTTTTTACACTTGTATGTGTTCTTTTTCAAACTCTTCCTGTTTTTCATTAGATTTTTGAAAACAGCATACTAAAGGAAAGTTGAATGTCTCTAGTATACTCTAGTAAAATAATCAGTCCAGTAAGAGTTAAAACATTTTATGAATATAAAAATAACACACATACTATCACAAACCCAATATTTTCACAACTTAACATCAAAAGTGAAAAGTTACTAATAACTTTTAAATCAAGAAATATATGACATTAAAAATATCAAAAATAATTTTCTTATAATAATTATTTTAAGAAAATTTGTGTGGTTAGCATTTGAGATCTTATATAATATGATTTTGTTTTAAATTATGTAAATGTGTTCATTGCTATGCAAAATATTTCAAAATCGTCAATTTTTACCAAAAATTATATAATTAATATAATGCTCAATAATGACTAGAAATCGAGATTTTTGATAGATTCTGTTTTCATCTTAAAGTACATTGTATTGTCTTTAATTTGATAAAAGTTTAATAAAAACATTTTTTTTAGAAAATTATAAATAACTTTAAACAAAAAAAAATTTTCATGTGATAATTGTGTTTCCTCTTGTCAATGGTTAGATTTTCAATCTAATAAAAGAGATCTCAAATATATTTAATTTAGTGTAAGTTTCACTAACCGAAAAATGTAATAATATTGGAAATTTATTAAATTTGAAACCATAACTATGAGTGGGGTGGTCAAAAAATTTATTTGATCATTGAATTTTTGTTTAAATTGTGCGACCTATCTTTAATAATTATTTTTGGTAGCATCTTCTTATATCAATAAATTTGCCGATTAAAATGATGTAAAAATGAGTCTACAAAAAAGTACATACATGTAATACAGCCGCTGGGATTGACGACTGGTTATAAAAAGTATACTAGAAGTCGTGTGAAAAAAAGAAGCACGATACGGGATTAAAATGAGTCGCCGAAGAGACAAACCTTATCATTAAGCCACCGTGCACTTATGATTCAGATCTGATAAACTTCCAAGTAAGTTAATAACGTGATGTGAGCCTGAGGAAAACACGGTATCGTGTCACATGTAAAATTGAGAGAAATGTTGAACTAAATGAAACAGTTAAAAAAATTATTAATATTAGTTTTATTTTTCAAATAATTAATTGGTTTATGATAAGTGAATCATTCTGTATACATAACCCAACTTTGAATTATAATCTAACATTGATATTGTTAAATGCATATTTTTTAGATGTAATTTGTCCAGATACAACAGAACACTACCGTAAGCTTTTATACAGTTTTTAAAATAATAGTTTGCTTACAAAAGTTATGCCGAAATATCACAAATCACATTTATTCAATGACATTACCCTCAAAAATTAAAAAAAATTCACTCGTTCCCCATAAATGGAGAAAATCTCCAAAAAAATTACAAATCTAAAATTCCATAATTTTTTCAATTTTTAGCTTCCATGCGAAGCTGAGAAGGTATTAATTTTACTGTGACATGTTTTTTTTTTTTGTTGATTTATTTATCTATTTTTTTTGTGTTTGTAACCACTTTTTCTCACCTCTCACCGAACCGATTTCTTTCAACAATACGTCAAAAGATCACAAATCGTATCTAGTCGAAGACATTGTCCTCGAAAATTGAAAAAAATTTTCTGGTTCATCGTAAATGGGGGAAATCTCCAAAAAAATTACAAATTTAAAAATCGTTTATTTTTAAAATTATTTTTACTAAAAACTGCCATAATTTTTTTAAAAATTACCAAATCTATATAATTTGTTGTTATATAGATACGTGAAATAATTACTTATTATTTTGTATATTTTTTATAAATTTGACCCTTTATCTGCCCAACGGGGGGATTCAAAATGACAACTTTTTCGACTTAAATTTTAAAAGTGTTCCGGAAATACTGACACTTTTATATATATCTTAAATTAAAGCCTATGTAATATACTTTAATTTGAAAGAAAAAATTTAACCTCTGGATTTGTCTTCGTGGTTTAAAAATCGCTAATTTTTTCAATTTTTTTACTTAAAACTGCCATAACTTTTTCAAACTGAACAATTTAATAAATTTTCTGATTTTTATAGATGCATAATGTCTTTACTTTTCATTTGTTATATTTTTTTATAAATTTGACCCTTTACTTGCTCTCAGGGGGAATTCATAATGACAAATTTCTCACAAAAAATTTACTTTTTCAACTTGACTTTTGAAAGTGTTCCGGAAATACTGACACTTTTATTTATATCTTAAATTAAAGCTAATGTAATATATTTTATTACGGAAAAAAAATGTCGGACTTTATTTTGTTTTCACGGTAAAAATGGCAACCGTATGCTATTTTTGTGTTAAAATTCTCGATTTAAAATTTAAAATTTTAACTTTCAAATGCTATAACTTTTTAAAAAATGTATGGATCAATACAATTTTTTTATGAGAAGTAGTATTTATATACATATTTTATTCGACATACTTTTTTTTAAATCAGACCAATTTTCTATATACGGGCATCAAATCTGAAAAATGCATTATAATAAGGAAATATCAGATCATGTAGCTTTTGAAATAATCCACCAATGCTTTAAATGTAAACACTATCTAAATATTTGCATCGAAGCGTTTTTTTTTATAGTGATTTTAATCACTGTCAGATAGCATTATACTTATCCCAACTATGCCACGTCACCACTGTGCGTCAACTTCCCTGTTCTGGGTTTTTTTTACTTAAAACTGCCATAATTTTTTTTTTATAAATTGAACCCTTTATCTGCCCAACGAGGGGATTCAAAATGAGAACTTTTTCACAAAAAATTAACTTTTTGAACTTAGCTTTTGACATTGTTCCGGAAATATTGGCAATTATTAATTTGTCCAGATGCAACAACTCATTACTGTATTTTTTTATGTAGTTTTTAAAATAATATTTTGTTAAAATATAATGTGATTGGTTTATAATAAATTATCAGATTAATCGCAAAAAAAATTATTATTTTAAACAATTTTAAACAGTTTTTGGCTTTTAGTTACATAATTAGTTTAATTTATTAGCTATTTAAATTACTATTTAGAATCATCTCTTATAACTTATAGAGGTTTCAACTTTATTTTTCAAATGCCAAGATATATAATTAAATTAATTAGTTTATTTATATCAATAGATAACTAAGATAACTAAAGGTAACTAAGAAAATTACTAGACAATAACTACTTTTAGACCAGTATTATGGGAGTTATTAATATTGTATAGTGGTCGTTGGAGGGAGATGCGATTGTTATCATTTTTATCATTCCTCGGCTGTTCTCATCTGGACCAGTAGTAGTTTGTTACCAACTAGTCATTTTCATAATTAGTTTATTATCTATAAAATAACATAATTAACTACGTATATTACTATTTGATAATAGAAAGTTGACACCCATATAATGTTAAAGAATTTTTTTTTGGTTAAGAAACCAAAAATATTCACATATTGCTTTTATTTCGATTAATTAAGTAGTTTATTATAAATTAATCACCTTGTATATGGTTATTATTTTCAAAATAGTTTTATTTACATTCAAACCATAATAATTGACATTATGCTAAGTTTAACATAGAAGAAGTAAATCTTGAATTTAAATATCTCATAATCAATTTTTTTAATTTCGATCCGAAGTTGTCATAAGTTTTGTCATGATGTTTTTTTTATAACTGATTATAAAAATTCTCAGTTTACCTGCACTGATTTTGTTAGTTTATGCTTCAAAAGAACCCAATTTTTATTTAATTTAACCCATCAGTGTCGAAAATTTGAAAAAAGTCTCCAATGAAAAATAATATAATGAAAAATCGAGTACTGGGAAAGTTTGAAAGTGACAATTTACGCATGAAAAAAAATATTCAAATCAATTTTCCAAATTATTCCGGAACATCTAACAACATTTAACCTGTACAAAATTTAATAATTTAAAGTGTATAATAAAAAATAATATAGATAAAAAATCTATTCCGTGATTGTTCTACTATGCGAATTTATAGGTAAATTTTTTTCATTTTTTCATTCAAAGTAAAACGTTTACACTCAATTAGTGTAATGATAACATAAAGTATTAACAATTCGTATACAATATAATTTTTGTTAATTTCCAGTACATGTGAATATTAGGACATTATTTTTTAAGAGTGCAATTAATTAAATTATTTAACAAGCATTTAATAATTGAGCGAAATATTAAAACATTGAAATTGTGAAATTACAAATATACTAATTATTTTGAAATTTAAAATTCTCGCATCAAATTTTAATTTAGTGAATTAATCACTGATATATTAATACTCGTACCAACTATGCCGCATCATGACTACTGCAACCCTACTGTGTTGGGTTTTTAGTAACTGCCTTTTTTTGTTAAACTGAGTAAAATATATAGATCAAAAATATTTTGCATAAAAAAAATTAGAATACATTTTAGCTTCGATGCGAAGCTGAGAAGGTATTAATTTTACCATGATGTGTTTATTTTTTTTTTTTTTGTGTCTGTCACTACTTTTTCTCAGCTCTCACTGGACCGATTTCTTTTAACAATACGTCAAAAGATCACAAATTGTATCTAGTTGAAGACATTACCCTTAAAAATTTAAAAATTTTCCCTCGTTCCCCGCAAATGGGGGAAATATCCAAAAAAATTACAAATTTAAAAATTGACAAATTTTGTCATTTTTTTCACTTTTTTTTCTTAAAACTTCCATAACTTTTTCAAAAATCAACAAATCAACATAAATTTTTTTTAAACTAAAACCTTAGATAATTTTCTTTCATTTGATATAATTTTTTTCAAAATTAAACAGTTAGCCTGCTCATGGGGGGGGATTAAAAATTGCAACTTTTTTACAAAAACTAACTTTTTCAACTTAATTTTTGAAAATGTTCCGGAAATACTGCGTCCTTTAAACATATATCAAATTAAAGCTTATTTTATGTACTATAAAATGAAAAAAAAAAATTTGTCCCGACACTTTATCTTCTGCATGTAAACGGTTGCCGTAGTTAAAAAAACACTATTTTTGTGTTAAAATTTTCGATTTTCAATTTTTAATTTTCAACTTAAAAATGCTATAACTTTTCGAAAAATGCATGTATCAGCACAATTTTTTTTTTTCTAAATACATTATAAGTACATCTTCCATTTGACATACTTTTTATTAAAATTAGACAATTTCCCCTTATATAGGGGGGGTTCAAACTTTGAAACATTGTATAAAAAATAGAACTTTTTCAACTGAACTTTTGAAAATGTTCCGGAAATACTGCGTCCTTTAAACATATATCAAATTAAAGCTTTTTTTATGTACTATAAAATGAAAAAAAAAAATTTGTCCCGACACCTTATCTTCTATGTGCAAATGGCTGTCGAAATTATAAAAAAAATGTAATATTTGCGATAAAAATCACCTTTTATAACGATGTTTTTTGTACTTAAAACTGCCATAACTTTTTCAAATATTAACTAATCAAAATAATATTTCTTTATATTGAAACCTTAGGTAATTTTCTTTCATTTGATATCATTTTTTTTTGAAAATCTAACACTTATTCTGCTCACAGGGGGGATTTAAAATAGCAACTTTTTTACAAAAACTAACTTTTTCAACTTAATTTTTGAAAATGTTCCGGAAATACTGCGTCCTTTAAACATATATCAAATTAAAGCTTATTTTATGTACTACTAAATGAAAAAAAAAAATTTGTCCCGACGACCTATCTTCTATGCGCAAAAGGCTACCGTATTTAAAAATATGCTATTTTTTATTAAAATTCTAGGTTTTGTATTTTATTTTATTTTAAAATATTTTATTAGGGGAATAAACTGACTTTCATGAATATTATATAATTTCATTGACATAGAATAAAGTTCATAAGACATATGATATTATACTTATTAACATTTTTTACTTTTTTAAAGTCGAAAAAGTAATTTTTAAATTTGAGTTAGCTTAAATAGCCAATTTTATCATGCAACAAAAATCAACGAATAGTTGCCGAATGGGTAACACCTTGATCTTTAACGCCTAGGGTACGAGGTTCAAATCCGTTTGTGGCTTCTAAAATTTTGCATTTTTTTTTTGAGTTAGAATAGAATTTTCAAATCATTTGATATTTATCTCATTTAGATTCAATAATTTCAATAAATATAAAGGATCTTATCACTATAGTCTCCCCTCGTGAGAAGAAATTGATATTCATGTTAATATTATTTTACTATGTGGTTCTTTTTCTGGCTACGATTTATTTTGCCAACCCTCACTAGACCTACTTTTTTCAACGATACGTCAAATGATTCATTTAAGTTTATGATATTTAAGTTAATGATTAGTTTAAGTTATTACTCTTAAAAATCAAAAAAATATTCCTTATTCAAATAAAAAGTAGCTTAACTAGATTTGTCCATACAAACAATTAAAATCATTAATTTTTAATATTCTTAAATTATTTATTGTCGAATTAAATTTGATATGATAAAAGTATTCAACTACAAAAGTAAATAATTTTACTTTATAATTTATTAATTTTTTAACTCTATTTCTGTGTGCTACTACCAGTCTATAATATGCCAAATTTTTTAGTAATATGTTGCTATATAAATCATAAATTTAAAAAAAAAATGATTTTTAGTTTCACCTGAAGTTAACGATGGAGTTTTACAATTATAATTATATTTTTGATAATATGCTCAATTGAGTAAATCTTTTTAACTACTTTGGTTTGATTGGTTCATTTAATTAAAGTAAATTATTAAAATTAATTAAGTTCTGAATATTTCAATTGCAGAATTTTTTTAAACACCAAAAGTTATTAGGATATGATTACTATTCTTTCTATTTCAGTTATCTATTACGATAAAAATGTAAAAAAATCGAATTTTTCTGACAAATGTACTGTAATTAGTAATTATAAAATTTCCAGATTGCATATTAATCTTAAAAATTTCATTTTTTTCAATTTAATAATGTCAATTTCAAACTTGCAAGTTGAACTATAAGTTATGGTAACAAATTCATTTTTTAGCTTCGATGCGAAGCTGAGAAGGTATTTTTCATTAAAACTTTCACTTTAAAAGACAATAAAAAATAGGTTCAAAATGATTACCTTTAACATATTAAAAATCAAAATCAGTATTAATTTAATACAATTTTTTTTGTTCTTAATTATTTTTTTTTATATGTAAATACTTATTTTTTAATAATAAGTAATAATATTAAAACTTAGAAGTAATAAAAAAAGTTTAATTGCACATTTGAAAACATCGCGAAAAGTTTATTTAGAAAAGTATATTTTTTTTTCTGATGAAAGTTCCTTTTGTTTAGTGTATTTATTCATAAATAACAAAATTTTTTTATTAAAAAGTATTGCATCAATTCCTTTAAATTTGTATACGCATTAAAAGTATATGAATATACAACTCCTTTTTATTTTTATAATATCTCCGTAAAAATTACAATATTATATTATTGAATACCACTTTCATACTCAATTTAATTACTGTAATTATTATGTATTCATATATTATAATTATAAATCGGGGTAAAATTAAGGGAATAAGTGTTATTGTTGTTTTTGAAATACTCTACCAATTTCATTTTTTTCTATTTAATGATATCTATTTCAAACTTGCAAGTTGAGTTAAAAGTTATGGTAATAAATTCATATTTTTTTTTTTTAAACTTTCACTTTAAAGGACAAAAAGAAGTTGGTTCAAAATGATTACTTTTAATATATTAAAAATCGATAATAATTTGAAAATAATTAATTATAAAAATTATATAATAGATAATTAAACGAATTACTAATCTGGATATAATTATGGAAATAGGAGTTGATGTTGGGTTGGGTTGGTTACATTTTTAACTTTATAATGCTACAACTCATTGAAAAATGTATGAATCAACACAATTTTTTTATGAGAAATAATATTTTTTAATAATCCCTTTTTCATTCGACATTCTTTATCTTAATCAGGGTATTAATAAGGAACTAGCAGATCATGCAGCTTTTGTAATTATCCACCAATTTCTTAGAATTAAACACTATCTACTGATTTGCATCGAAGCGTTTCTTATGATAGTGATTTTAATCACTGTCAGATTAAATCTATACTGGACCTAACTATGCAACGTCCCCACTATGCCGCGACTCCACTGTGCTGGGTTTTTTTTATTATTAACACAGCAATGTGAACATAGTTTTCAAAATACTATTTTCTGGATTAGCTATTTTCATATAAAATACACTTGATTGAATTTATAACTATTTTTTAATTATTAAGTCTATACATACTTCTGTAGTAGTAACTGAATGAAAAAAATATTTCTTTAATAATTATGTTTTTATATAAATGAAGACAATTCATTTAAAATTTGTAATAAAATGTTAGTTAAACTTTTTAACAACTAATGGAATACTATTAAATAATATTCTAAATTTTCTAGTAAGAGAAAACTGGAGACGCTGTTTTAATGAAAAGACAATACTTTGGGGATTTTTTCCCAAATATATCGGTAAGAATAAATTTTTCAAACAACACGTTTAAGTTTCCTATTAACAACGTTTTTTTTATGTATAATAAAACATTATTTAATGTTTTAAATAATCGTATTTTAATTGTGTTCGCAATAGCGTAATTAAAGGATCGTAAAGAAACACCAGACATGTAGAAGCACAAAATATACATTATTTTACACTAAATAAACAAATATTTGTTATACTATTATCAAAAAAAAATTTAATGTATGTTAATTAGAGCAAAGTTTTATTAGAACATGTTTTGCATACCGACAAAATATAAAGCTAACACTTAGACAGACAATTCAGAAATACAAACACCACCAATGTAAATTCAATAATTTTAAAAAATTCTGAGTTTTTCTAAATTGCTCTCCCCCTTGCTCGCTAGCCATTGTAATTTCCTAAATTACAATTCTAATTTTGAAATATGTTTGTTATAAACTTTTACTGCATAGATTACCAATCAACTTAATAACCGAACAAAATATTTTCAATAAATATTTCAAATAAAAATTTTCAGATGAATAAATGAGTACAACATTTATTACTTAAAAAAATAAGAATAGTGTATGTAAATCAAATAAAATTTTTACATAATTAATTTTTTATTTTCAGATGAAAATTGGATAAAGAGTTGTGAGCCAATTAGTAAATATGATTTTTTATTAAATTCCGTACCCATATATTTATCCTTAAAATGGCTAGTCAGTCCGTGTACTGTCATTTCAAATAATTAATTATTTGAATTTGCCTATGTGAAATAAATAATTGTTTTGATAATATTGTATTTTGACTTAAGCATGTTTTTTCAAGTGATAAGATTTAAAAATAAATTGTACAATGATAATAATACTCGTATTTTTAGGAAAAATTGGAGAGGTCGTGGACTATCAATTCATAGTTGACATAAGAAGGAATTTAATAAAGAAAGCAGCAATACGATTGTTATTTCACGAATATGGTAATAATAAATGAATAATAAATATATACAGTGTAGTTTGGACATCTTTAATAACTTTGGTCCAGCAAATATTTTGCGTACATTTTTTTTTTTAGAAGTTTTATCATTTTGGAATACGTTAAAACAATTTTTTAGCATCGATGCGAAGCTGAGAATTTATTAATTTTACTATAATGTGTTCACCTCATAAATTAAAAATTTTTCACTCATTCTTCGTAGATGGTGGACATCCGCCAAAAAATTATGAATTTAAAAATGGCTAATTTTTTTTTTGTCTGTTACCATATTTTTTCAGTTCTAACTGAACCGATTTCTTTTAACGATATGTTAAAATATCACAAATCGTATTTAGTCGAAGACATTACCCTCAAAAATTAAGAATAATTCCCTAGTTCCCNCGAAGACATTACCCTCAAAAATTAAGAATAATTCCCTTGTTCCCCATAAATGGAGGAAATCCCCCAAAAAATTACAATTTTTAAAATCAGTAAATTTTGACATTTTTTCAACTTTTTTTTCTTATAACTGCCATACTTTTTTTTACACATAGAATCTGTAGGTATTTTTTTTTATTTATTATAAATATCTTGAAAATCTAACCCTTTATCTGCCCATAGAGGGGATTCAACTTCTGTACAAAAANAAAATCTAACCCTTTATCTGCCCATAGAGGGGATACAACTTCTGTACAAATATTTCACTTCTTCAACTTTGGTTTTGAAAATGTTCCAGAAATACTCCAAGCTTCAAATATATGATAAAATAAAGTTTATAATATGTACTAGAAGTTCAAAAACAAATTTGTCCCTACGACTTATCTTCTATGTGAAATTGGTTGTAGTAATTAAAAAAACAAGCTAATTTTATGTTCAAATTTTTTTTATTTTGTACGCTTCCCAAATGCATAAAAAAAAACCAGCACAAGGGGGTCGCGGCACAGTGGTGACGTGGCATAGTTGGATCAAGTATAATGATATCTGACAGTGATTAAAATCACTGTCAAAAAAAAAAAACGCTTCGATGCAAATCTTTAGATAGTGTTTAATTTTAAAAAATTGGTGAATTATTCCGAAAGCTACATAATCTGCTAGTTCCTTATTAATATCCTGATTAAGATAAAGTATGTCAAAGGAAAAAGGGATTATTAAAAAATATTATTTTTTTTTTGCATAATAAAGTATATTACATTAGCTTTAATTTAAGATATATATAAAAGTGTCAGACTTACCGGAACACTTTCAAAATTTAAGTTAAAAAAATTAATTTTTTGTGAAAAAGTTGTCATATTAAATCTCCCCCCTGTGGGCAGGTAAAGGGTCAAATTTATAAAAAATATATATCAAATGATAGTTAAAAATATCAAACATCTATATAAAAAAAAAAAATTATTGATATGTTCCATTTTGAAAAAGTTACGGCAGTTTTTAGTCAAAAAAATGTCGAAAATTTCGAAAATTAGCGATTTTTAAATTTGTAATTTTTTTGGAGGTTTTCCCCATTTACGGGGAACGAGGGAATTTTTTTCAATTTTTGAGGGTAATGTCTTCGAATAGATACGATTTGTAATCTTTTGACGTATCATTGAAAGAAATCGGTTCGGTGAGAGCTGAGAAAAAGTGGTAACAGACACAAAAAAAAAACACAACTTAGTAAAACCAATACCTTCGCATCGAAGCTAAAAGGTTATAAATTATACGTATAAATAATAGAACTGCAAATTAGGAATAATGAAAGAAATAGGAGTTAATTTTGCTTTTGGAATAATCCACCAACTTCATAAAATTAAACACTATCTACAGATTTGCATCGAAGCGTTTCTTATGATAATGATTTTAATCACTGTCAGATATTATCTATACTTGTTTCAACTATGCTATGTTCATACTGTAACGCGACCCCACTGTACTATCTTTTTTATTATTTTTGTCTAATAAGAAAAAAATTACATACCCAATTCATGAATTAAAATGCTAATTTATCGACTGAATTAATTTATTTGGAAAAATTAGTTCTAAAAAATAACTGTTTTGGAATTATGAAAAAATATAAATTTTTCTTTCCTTATTAGAGGCAAAAAATAAAAAAATGTTTTTAATATATTCCAATCTGTGAAAATTATTAAAAAAAATAAAATAATAACACAAAATATTAACTGAACTAAATGATATTAAAGATTTTTACATATCAAAGAAATAAATTTTATTCAAATAAATGTATTTTAGCTAAAGATGAACTGTGTGGAAAGAAAAATAAAAAATGCACATTGGCAGGAGTTTTGAACTTATTGACTACGAAAAATATATTTAAACAAACAGGAGGATGTGAAAACAATCAATGTATTTTTAACGCAATAAATATGAAAGGACAGAAAATAGGAGTATACAAGTTTTTTGACGCCAAAACTTCGATAATTTCAGAGAAACAAACCTTTTGTCAAAAAAATGACGAAGAGCCTATATTATTTCAAACGTTTTTATTTAATAACGAAAATATAATTGTATAAATTTATATTTTACAATTATTTATTGTAAAATGTTTAATTATATATATATATTGTAAAAATAAGTGAAATGAAACTTTTCTGAGTACATTGAGTAATTTAATAATATTTTTAAACACAATCGAAGGACTCTTTTCTTAAAAAACAAGATAACTCCATTTTTCAAAATTTTCCAAGAAACAAAAAAAAACTGGACATTTTTAACATATATTCCTCTCTGCCAATAATTTTTAAAAACACTATATTTTTCAAATAATTTATCATAAAAATTTTCTTGGATAAATTAATTTCTCGTTTCTATCTTAATTTAGAACCGTCGCAATTTATTTCGAAAAAAAATACTAAATTTACCTTTTTTTTACACAGAGCCCTTCATTTTACTCTTAAACTAGTGCTAGTAATTAAGAATTATAAAAAAATATGCAATAGAATAATAAACTAATGAGCATAATATTAAAAATAACATAGGTATGTACAATTTTAACATTAACTCTGACCCGACATTCCTTTGAATATTAAATAAATGGTAGTTTTGCAAATGTCCACACATATTACTTTTAAATAATTCTTAAAATAGTTGGATGTAAATTATAAGAAAAGTTCAATGTCAAAAATATTCTATTGTGTACCAAAGTGATATAATAAAAATGATTTGTAATTTAAATATATATTTTTTCATGTAATAGTTATCTAAGTCATGATTACTGTATAATAAATAATAAAATTATAGTAATAAAACAGTCTAAAAGGGCAGTATGGCATTCGAGATGATCATAAAATAAGAGATTGGGGTTATAAACTATTAAGTAAAAAGACTAAGGTAGCATGTTTATGTTTATTCATTATATAAAATATAAAATCAAGACTTAAAAAAATATTAGCGACACCTTTGTCAATATCATCACGTCAACAGAGAAGACGCTACGGCAAACGAAATAATCATAGTATAATAAAATGTGTGTAATTTTGATAATATTTTTTTCACTTTTAAAATTGAGGTTTTTTTTTTCAAAATTTCTACTCATATGGGTTCAACTATCTATTATTATAATTATATGTAATTTAGTTTGTACTTACCAGAGTTTATAACCATTGCATCAATTGTTCATTTTTAGGAAAATAATACAATCTGTGATAGGTTATCTTGCTTGTATTTACTACAGTTAAAAAACACTTAATTATTAGTAATGATGATAAGTTATTGCATAATAAAGTTTGTTGAAATAAAATGTAAACATCGTTAATACATCCTGTTTTGACCGCAATTCCAAATATAATCCTGGCACTAAGATATCGTAATTTTAATTATGATATCTTAGTAAGTATCTTTTATGTGGTTTTAAATTAAAATTGTTTGTCGATCTCACACACACATATGCTTATTTTTAATATATGTTAAAATAAACCTTATTTTATGTACTATAAGTTCAAGAAAAATAATTTGTACCGTCGACCTATTTTCTATGTGAAAATGGCAGTCAAAGTAGAACAAAAAAATAGGAGTTATTTTTGCTTTTGAAATAATATACCAATTTCTTAAGATTAAACACTATTTACATATTTCCATCGAAGAGTTTCTTTTGATAGTGATTTTAATCACTGTCAGATATCATTGATGCGGGAACAGTAGATGATGTCACAAATAAATAACACAGGTTGGTTTTCTTAAGTGGCGTCGAGCCGTTTAATGAGAAAACAAGAATCGTAACACAAATGATAATGCGCAAACCAATAATAACAATAATATTAATAAGAATCCGTCGATAGAAAAAAACAAAAGATGAACGAAATTGCGGTGGTGATTTGGTTGAGGTAACGGACGCTATATCCAACGAGATAGTTGTCACGAAGATGACTGACAGGACGTATTATTGCGGCGGGGTATTCGACGCTAGGCATTTGTTGGACTTTACACCACGACGATAACGCGTGTGTGTAACGGTCCGGTTTACAGCGAAGTGGAGGCTGAGAAGGAGCTGATACGACCGCGGGGTGTCAACGTGTGACAACGCCGTGGCTGTGTCATCATCTAAACTTGTCCCAANCGGCGATGCCGACGATTTCAACCTAAATGTATATACAACTAGTGATGTGCAAATTCCCAGGAATTTTATGATGGGAAAATTTCCGGAACATTCCTTATACCGGGAATTTATCGGGAATATTATAATTTTATTAAATTTTGTTCATATTTATTAATTTTGTTTCAATATTTAACTAAACTTATAGCTGTAAATGGTCCATGGCCTATATTTTATACACAAAAATATTATTGGAGAAAAGTGAGACATTTGTGTGATAATTAGTAGAATTATTCTAAAAATATTTGATTTGATTAGGATTTAGGTACATATAAATTTATCAATATAATGAAATTATGTACTAAAGGTTCAGTTATTGATGCAAAGAATTGACTATAAGTAATTATTTAAACTGCTTGTATATATTTACATTAAACTAAATATGAAATTTTATGTTGAAACATTAGGAATTTTAAATATTTTATAACTAATTATAATTTTTGATTCTGTTATACTTTTCACTGTTTATATTTCAAATTAACTGTATGCTATGAATCATTTTATAGGCATCATAGTCTATGATGCCTATAAAATGCTTAAACAAGTTACCAAATTTAATACGTTATTTTTTGTTCACATTTTCCAGGTTTTTCAAAAGTAATAAAAGCAAAGGATAACTTTATTAACATAAATGTTTACTTATAAATGTAAATAACAACAAGATAACTTATTTCTTTTTGTTTTAAATACTCATTAAAGAAATCATTGTCACTGTCACTAGGACACCACTCTTCATCGTCGGACGAAATTAAACCATCAATTGACATTGAATTTTCATCTGACACAATTGATATATTAAGTGTATTTTTATCCATTTCATTAGGTTCACGGGGTTCGCCTTCATAATTAACATAAGTAACTTTTTTATTCTTTTCTATATTTTGTCTCCAATAATGGGCAACAAAAGTTATTTTTGAAGCATTTGATGTTGTTAAACGGTTCCTTTTTTTGTGTGAATATTTGAGAATGTGCTAAATGAACGTTCAGTGGCTGCTAATTGTAGTAATACAAAAAAAAAAGCATTAACTGGTAAATGGGGAATTTTGTTTGACCAAGGTTGGATGTTAGGGATTTGGTCAATTCAGGAGCAACGAGGTTCTATCGGGGTTGTAGAGTCCGAGGGTTTAGAACAATAAAGACAAGTAGATATAAAAAGAATTTATTAAAGTTTCTCTATAGAGATATTACAAATGATCTAACTGGTAAGTACCTGAAATAATACACTGAGGCAACGAAGAGGCGGTGGCCATCTCACGAATACCCAGTCGAAGTGTTTATATATACAGTAGAAATCACATTAGGTTTTAAACTCTTTTAGGCAACGAAGAGGCAGTGGCCATCTCACGAATACCATGTAATGTGATTATGTATAAGGTACGAACTAGTCAGTAACAATTAATAAAGTTTGAATATAAATATGTGATCTATTGCTTTATCATTCTTTACTCAGATTATTAATTCTAAATAATTGGGTTAATATAAATTTACTTACTTCTTTTATATATCTCACGTTCAGATTTATACTTTTCCTTATTAATAAATAAATAACGTATTGACGCAAAAATAATTGTATTTGAAATCGCTATAAAATATACCGACGACAACACGGGGTCGCGGCTAGTTTGTTCAAAATAAATCAAATAGAAGAATCCTGAATTCTTTATTGAATTCAAATCTTCAAAAAGAAGAGAGAATTGAACTCTCTTAGAAAATCAGCGCCTTTTTATATTACTTTTAATTACCCCCATCATGGGTTGTTGCCGTCAGCGCTTTTAGTGATTTTCAGTTTATTATGTAAAATTTGAACATAACATGATAATTATTTTTAAGATAAGATGCATAGTATACAATAATCAATTTAACATGTATATACATATATAATAGCTATTGTACAAATGTGTATATGTTATGACAGATAAATTAATTATTTGTGTTATACAATTGGTAGTAAATATAGAGTAGTAATTTTTTATTGATAATGTAAGATGCGTAATGCAGAACATTGTGCATATTACGACATAATGTAGCAGGAACAATTAATATTTTTTTTTGCAATAATACATAAATGAGTACTTGAACAAAAACTATTCCACCATGTTAAAGGACTTATTTTCTCCACACATTTCCAAATAAAATTATTGCTCCATATATCTTGTCGAGATCTGTAATTTGCTATATCAGCTATTATTTGAGCACCATCCATTTTAAGAGAATCAGTCATATTATTTTGTATAGATATCATTTGATCAATAAACTCAATAGCTTTTAATACTTCTGAATTTGATAAATTACACCCTTGAGTTTTGGGATCCAACAAAGATGCAGCTAAGTGTAGAGGTTTAATAGTATTTAAATGTCTTTCTTTAAACTTATTCAGTATTATTTGCACTTTTTTAGTAGAAATAATCAGTGATTCTGAGATATAACTACAAAAAGTATTTTGAATTTCATAAAAAGCATCAAATACATGATTAATTATATTGCTTTCCCCTTCTAAAATTGTAATCCATTTTACAATAGAGTTAAGTAAATTAATAAGTTTATCGATTTTAGTCCAAAATACAGCATCATCTAAAATTAATTTGTTTCTGTTTATTCCTATCATAGAAGAGCCAACAACATGAACAGCTAATGTTTGTAATGATAATTTACATTCTTTCATTGAAGTTAACTAGTCTTTCGTTAAAATAAGACCAACAATTCGAATATTTTTACCTGCCGGCATTTTAAAAGTATTTTGAAAAGTAAAATAACAAATAAAATCACTGTGAAAAACGATACTACTATAATCAATTTTAATCTAAGCCCTAATATATTGCTTATCAATAATATGTTGATAAACATATCAGTGTAATCAAGATATAAATACAATAACGTTGTCTCTTTCACTAGCACTGCCATACTTTAGTAATTATAATAAATAAAATGTATTAGTTCTTATTAAAGAAATATTCCCGAGTGGTAATAGAATATTTCCGGAATATTCCTCATTCCCAGGAACGTTCCCTGGGGAATATTTCTTGTGGCACATCACTAGTCCCAACTATGCCACGTCCATACTGTGCCACGACACTACTGTGCTACCGTTGTTTTTGTTATGATAAATTTAATGTTGATTTGTATTTGAATTGAACAATGTTTTTGTTTTGAATTGTAACTGAATTTAAAATTATATTTTTAAAATTTACGACAATCGTAAAATGTTGGGCGGTAAGTCGCATAATAGGAAGGGAGTAGTCTGGTATTTGTTTTTTTTTTTTGTAATAACATTATTTATATTATTAGCATTCGTTATTTTTTAATACACCTCCTCTAAAATCAACAGTATAACTTATAAATTGTTTAACTTATAAAACAGAACTTTAAAACTAACATTTTATTAAACTACACTCCTTCTTCATTATTTTACTATTATACCTATAATATTACAATATCGCTTTCTGCTATACTTGGTATTTTTTTTTTTTTATAACTTATATTTCCGTAATAATTAGTACTCAATTATCAACAGTATACAATAACAAAAGTTACCGTTTACTGTTAAAGCGTTCTTGAGATTTCATGAATTGATATTTTCATTTTTATTCATTCAAAACTATTAAAATCTGTTGATAAAAATGATTTTTCAAATAATATTTCATTAAAAATGAAAGTGGAATTGCAATGGAATATAATTAAAATCATGACTTAAGAAAATTAGTATTTTTAGCTTCGATGCAAAGCTCAGAAGGTATTAATTTTACTATGATGTGTTTTTTTTTTTTTATGTCTGTTGCCACTTTTTCTCAGCTCTCACTGGACCGATTTCTTTCAAAAATACGTCAAAAGATCACAAATCGTATCTAGTTGAAGACATTACCCTTAAAAATTGAAAAAAATTCCCTCGTTCCCCGCAAATGGGGGAAATATCCAAAAAAATTACAAATTTAAAAATCGCTAATTTTCGAAATTTTTTCACTTTTTTTTCTTAAAACTTCCATAACTTTTTGAAAAATCAACAAATCAACATAATTTTTTTTTATACTAAAACCTTAGATATTTACCTTTCATTTGATATCATTTTTTTGAAAATCTATCACTTAACCTGCTCATTGGGGGGGATTTAAAATGGCAACTTTTTTACAAAAATTAATTTTTTCAACTTAATTTTTGAAAATGTTCCGGAAAGACTGCGTCCTTTAAACATATATCAAATTAAAGCTTATTTTATGTACTACAAAATGAAAAAAAAAAATTTGTCCCGACACTTTTTTTTCTACATTTAAACGGCTGCCGTAGTTAAAAAAACACTATTTTTGTGTTAAAATTTTCGATTTTCGATTTTAAATTTTCAACTTAAAAATGCTATAACTTTTTGAAAAATGTATATATCAGCACAAATTTTTTTTTTCTAAATACATTATAAGTACATCTTTCATTTGACATACTTTTTATTAAAATTGGACAATTTCCCCTTATATAGGGGGCGTTCAAAACTTAAAATATTGTAAAAAACATAGATCTTTTTCAACTGAACTTTTGAAAATGTTCCGGAAATACTGCGTCCTTTAAACATATATCAAATCAAAGGTTATGTTATATACTATCAAATGAAAAAAAAAAATTTGTCCCGACATCTTATCTTCTATGTGCAAATGGCTGTCGAAAATTTAAAAAAAAATGTAATGTTTGCGATAAAAATTACATTTTATCGGGATGTTTTTTGTACTTAAAACTGCCATAACTTTTTCAAAAATGAACAAATAAAAATAATATTTTTTTGTATTGAAACCTTAGATATTTCCCTTTCATTTGATATAATTTTTTTTGAAAATCTAACACTTATTCTGCTCACTGGGGGGATTTAAAATAGTAACTTTTTTACAAAAAATAACTTTTTCAACTTAATTTTTGAAAATGTTCCGGAAATACTGCGTCCTTTAAACATATATAAAATTAAAGCTTATTTTATGTACTACAAAATGAAAAAAAAAAATTTGTCCCGACGATCTATCTTCTATACGCAAATGGCTACCGTATTCAAAAATATGCTATTTTAACAAAATTTTTTTTTTTTAATTAAACACTATCTACAGATTTGCATCGAAGCGTTTTTTATGATAGTGATTTTAATCACTGTCAGATATCATCTATACTGGACCCAACTATGCCACGACCCCACTGTGCTGGGTTTTTTTATTATATTAATTTTTAAATGTGAGATAGACAGTGTGACTAGTGTTATTTTTGTGATTTTTTACGAAAAATATAATTATACTACAAATACACACGTCCCAACTATGTAAATATGTTAGATAGTTATTATTATAATAATAAATTCAAATTATATTTTTAATCATTTATATATAAGTTATAGTTTGCAGATTTTTCACAATAATATATTCATATATGTTTAAATAAACTTTTTATAAATTTTTATGAAAATAAAAATTGATTTTTGTATTATAACACACGAATATAATGTTAAAACAGTTGAAATTTGTCAATTTGTTAACTCTCATACTTTTGTATTTTTATACTCATATGTGTGACACAACAGGATTACGAAATCGAGAATTACAAGGTAAAATTACTTAGAAAATATCATAATATATTAAATTTGTATTAATATATTTCCTACCTCTATGATTTCAATCGAAAAAAGAAAAGAAATCAATTTTTTATTTTATATATTATTATTTATTCTAATTTTTTATAGCGGCTGCGAATGCAATTTTGCAAACGAGTATGTTGTTACCAATTTTATATACATTATGTTTATATTTATATGCCTTTTTTTATTTATTATAAATACCGTATGAATTTTTAAGAATACTAACTTTGCACACTAATTTCTAAAAAAACCTTCAATATATTTTTTTAATAAAAAATGTTGCATGATATTTAATTTAAAATATATTACAGGTGTTCATTTTTCAGACTATTTTATTATTCAGATTCTAGATAACGCATTTAGAATCATATAAAGCCATTGATTTTAATTATAGCCATAGATTTTGGAAAAATTTGTTATAATAAAAGAAAAATTTTTTTTTTACTGAATAAGTTCAATTTTAGTATTTTAATAAAGTTTCTTGTTATAATTGAGATCAATTTATTAAGTTTCACTTGTTCATTTTTTGTTCACAAAAAAAGTAAAAATTACATAAAAAAAAAAGTTGAGACTATAATTACGATTTATTTAAGATTTACTCTAGAACTCGATAGACAAATCAAAATTTGTATAAAAATCTTTATCTTGATGCTAATATATGATATTTTTTGTCAGAAAGAAATAAAAAATACATGTTTACGTTGATAGGAACTAAAATAATATCGATTTTTGACTATTTTTCTAATATTTAGTAAATTATTTTATCTATATCAATTTTTTTTAATGACACGTTGAAAATTTATTTTAGAAACCAAAAATATTTTGAGATCATTTTTTAGAAATTTAATTAACTTAAAATTTGATTTAACCAAATTTAAAAAAAAAAAATTATTAGAAAAAAAATATGTAGGTTAAATTTTAAAATTATTTCCTTATCTGGTCCTCATTATAGTTAAAAATAATTTTTAACGATAAGTTGAAACCGATATTTTAACACAAGAACTTATTTGTTGACTCAATGTCTGTTAAATTTTATTTTTGAACTAAAAAAGCAATGAAGAATTTAAAAATATATTTATAAAATATTTTATTGGTAATATTTGAAATTCCAAAAAAAAAAAAAATTGGAAACAATTATGTTATTTATTTTTTAAAACTTTCAAGTTCAATGCTAACTCGAGATTAATTTTCTTACTATACATTTATCTAAGTTATATGAAATAATATAATCAATATCTTCAGTGAATAATTATTTTTATAAGAGTTCCTTTTAAAAATAATCACTTTTAAAGAGTCAATGTAAAAAAAATCAATATTTCATTTATTTATCATAATAAACTTAGTAGTAATTTTATTAATTACTTACAATTATTAGTAAAATGATAAATAAATGTAATTTATATGTATATTGATTATACTAAACTTAAAACTTTATAATGTATTTTTAAGATAATGTTTTGTATTCGTTTCCTGAGGAAAGTAAGATAACGTTTTTAATTACTAAGGTTGATTATTAACCATACTATTTTAACAAATCTAATTCCATAATTATTTAAATTTATTATTTTAAATTTCAATTAATTTATAATTTAAAAAGGCCGCCGGAAAATGATAGACGGACATAGAAAGTGTGCCAAAATTTCTATGAAAAATGTGGCCTGCTATGGGATTAGAATCTGCGACCTAAATCGCCGTAGGGACAAAACTTACCACTAGAACTTATTATTCAGATTCCGATACACTTCCATATAGATTGATAACATGATGTATGACTGAGGAAAAGAAAATACTCTCTATATCCCATTAATTTCGCCTCTCTTCTATACATATTATTTAAATAAAATGTTTCAAAATATAAATCAATTATTCTTTATATTAACTGTACG